TGAATAAAGATCTAATGTTTGCCTGAAAAAAATTAACAATTTCCATGGGGTGTTCTTACTTTTTCACATGACTATATATGCTAGAGCTTGCTGCATAGATTAGAGAGCATAGATTAGAGAGAACAGAGAGATTAATATATAATTATAGAAAAACACTTAAAAAGGGTTATACCAAACATCCCAGCACCTAGCTTACATAACAGAGAATACTGGGCTTTATGTACAATTTATCTCAATATTGTTCCTAATATTCCCAGCAAAACTGTAATTATAATCCTTTCTTTTTAAAGTGTCAATGTATTATGTGGTGAAGTACATTAAACAATGAAGGGTGCAAATGACAACTCCAGGAGAGGGCCCTGACTGAACAAGCTCACAATGCTGTTTGGTCAAGCCCTCAATCAATAAATCATACCTTTTCAACCTGTAAACCAAGAACTGTACTATGAGAAACAGGACTTTACAGCAGGTGAATTATTAGTGGGATTGAATGGCTTTAAAGCAGACGTCTAAATCTGTACTTATAATACATCAGACTTGAATGATGATGTTCTGTGACTGCCACATACACATGCTATTAAAAAGGCTAGAACAAAATGATAGATCTAGCCATCCTCAGTGGTACCAGTGCCAATATATGGGGGGCAGCAGCAATTTTTGAACAAAAACAGGTTTAAGTGTATGTCCAGGCATTGACCCCAAACTTACCTCAAACTGCCCTTACCCCTCAAAAAAGAGGAACAGAGTGGGAAAGGGGTACGTGAAGCTCGTTGATGTTTCTTAAGGTTTAAAAGTTTTATCCTCCTACAGATTCAGCTGGTCCCATGAGCACTGGCCCTAATATCCTGTTTTAGGGTGGCTGCTTTCACTTGCAGGGTCCTATGGAGTCACCCTTGTGTGTGCTAGTAAGATGTGAATATCTCCACAAACACACTGGCATGGCAAGGCAAGCCACTTCTATGTTCCTTGCTCCGCCCTCCTCTAAGCTGGGAGATAGGCAGCTTCTGGAGACTGCTCTGTCCCTTGTGATATTGTACGCAGCCCATAAGTTTGGGGAAGCCAAGCTGTGAGAGTTGGAACCAGCTGTTTGGAAACATGACTAAGTGCTTGAACAAAAATTTACAGACATACTTTGCTGGGCAATGTATAATTGTTTGATCTGGATTCATTACTGAAAAAAAAAACTTTGAGTGTTTAATACAACTTTAATATGAAAACAATATGTGATCAGCGCCAGTAAATAAATGCAAATAAGAGCAACTAGGCACTCAAGATAGATTAAAAAAATGGGGGACTGAGCATTCAACGTCCCTTTCCTCAGCTGAGCCGGACGGACGGGAGTCCCATTGCACCCATAGATTTGTACTGTGGTGTCCATTGGATATTTGTTCTATGCCTTTTGTCACCTGTGACATTGTGAGTACCTGCTTTTATTCAATAAATTGTATTTTTTGGATGATACGCACTATGTCCTCTTTAGATTTTGTCCCCCTTTGAAATGATGATTCAATTTGCAAGCTGAGGTTATCTGGTCTTCATTCATACGGGCTTCCCTCCCCTATTAAGAAGGGAAACGTGCTTTAAAGGAGAACTATGAGGTGAGTGCTTTTCACTCACCACATAGTTCTAGCCGACCTGTGACAATGAGACTGTCACAGGTTGGCTCAGTAGATCGGGACGTGAGCGAACACATTCCCGGCGTTCGCTCACTTCTCGATCCTGTCACAGCTCTCTGCCGTGACAGGGGAGGGGCTGGATTCCCCCCTCCCCGCTCCAATCCTCCAGCGCTGACTGGCGGAACGGACGGGGAGGGGGCGGGTACAGCTGGCTCTGCCTCTAGATAGGCAGAGCCAACTGTCACGCGCGCAGCTGGGCGGATCTAGACATAATTGTCGGGATCCGCTTCAGCTGCGGCGTCTCAGTATACCGCTCAGTATACTGAGCTTAGGGTTCCGGGAGGATGCTAGTTTGTGTCCTCCTGTTACCCTAAGGAGAACTATGGCGAAAAGCCCAAACCCCATAGTTCTCCTTTAAGACCTAGTTCTATGGGTCTATCTACCCAGGTGAGCACTGTTCCAATTTTTGCATTCACTGGGTGGAGGTGTAGATCTGTAAGGATTCTGTGGCAACTGCTTACTTGGAAGTATAAATCTATCTAGTGGTGGACTATACCCTGCATTTGTTTGCATGATTATAATTGTTGTACATTGGACTTTGTTTTTATCACTCTGTTCTCATCTTTCATGTTTTGATGTGCTCTTTTGAATATATTTTTTAAAGCATATACTTATATATTTTTGTTATATCACATATTTCACTGAATTGTATATATTTATTCAGCTCGGCACATGATTGTTATACACAAGTTTAATATGCCTAACAGGAATGTTTATTGGCACCTTGAAAAACTGAAAATATCTATAATAAAAACAGCATAATAAATGTTTACTTATATGTGCTGTGTCTGTTCAGACATGGGTTTTGTGAGATGTTCAGTGTAGGTGACAGCTTCACCATTTCATACAAGAAAGGGGTCAAAAAGTGACTAGAGAATCCAATCCTTCTACACCCGCTTTAATTTTAGACATTTTAATGTGAGAGTTATAAACAATGAGATATTTTGTGTACCTACAGCACAGTAAGTACAAGTACAATTGACATTTTGATTGAGATTTCTATGAACACGGAAGCACAGCTTAATCATGTCACTGATCAAATGAATTGTTTATTGAAAGCTGGATATCAAAGATATTTGATTGGTGTGGTGCTCGCTATATATGTGCCAACATTTGCTCTATTACCTGGAGGGTAGTCTACAGGACTCTGCACGTTTCAGCATATTTTTAAGTTCATTTGGAAAAGGCTTCCATTTTTCTATTTTCCAATTATCTTTTATAGCATGCACTGCTGTTTAATCTTAAAATCATAAATGAAGTTTAAATCCTAACTGACATCTTAAATGTTTGTATGGCGATATACTTAAAAGAAAAAAGTTATTTGTATGCTGGTGGGGAGGCTTCAGCACAATGGCAGCAACCCAGAAATAGACACCAGCAATTACTTCATTGGAAAAAAATAGATAACATATTTGTTTATGTGAATTATAACAAAAGCAGAGTTCAAATAAATTAAACCAGAGAGGTATATGTAAATAACTAATAATCATAAAAAAACATAAAAGGAAATGAGTCAAATAGAAACATAAGGTTTGGCGTGACTGAAAAAAGTGTTTGTTACTGTGAAATTGTGGTAAGTGACAGGTTGAGAGATGGTTTTGGCAGTAAGAGAGTGCCTAAATTTTCAGAACAGGTAGCTCAGGAGAGGATTTAAAGACATTAAAGTCACAATCCCCCACCCCCCATGCTGCTTTAATGACTTACCTTAAATGATGCTTCTTGATCTAATCATCTTCTTCCTTCCACTTGTTTACAGGAGCCCCTCCAGCGCTGGTGCCAGTTTCTGATCCAGCGCTGACTGCTGTGTCTTTTGTGTCCCACGGTATCTGTCCGACGTGCACGCTCCCGGCTGCATGCATTGACTTAATGTGTCTCTCCTCTTCTCCCCGCCAAAGATCTCTACTGCACCCGGGCACGCCCCATGATCCATTAGGCTGCTCAAGAATCTTCAGATGGGAGCGAGCAGCGGAGACACAGGTAAGTAATTACCTATTTGGTAACTTTTTATTTTGTTTTTACATATATCTACTGCTTACTAGCAGTAGATATATGTAAAATCGAAAGTGACTTTAATTCTACTTTAATTAAGGGAGTGCAGGCATTCATGGCTCCTCTCAGGAAACAGCAGCAATTAAAGCAGACAGCTTGTGTGTGGAGTCAAGGCCAGGGTTATTGTACCTAGGTCAGGGCTGTGATGTAAGGCCCTGCTGAACTAACCCATTTGAGGGGCAAATTCTGTGTGTTTTGCTACACTATTTTATGAATATAAATGAGCATGAAGCTGTAAAATGCATTCTGAGGTGTGGACTGGCTCATTACATTCTCCATTTGAAGCTAAATCTCAAAATGAGTGAAGCTATTTTTCATCTGAGCAGAGTACTTGTTCACTGCAAGCTGTTTGTCCTTCTCACACGTAGGATCGGTAAATATCGATGATATTAACCGATCCCCCGCTCTGCCACGCACAGAGCCGCTGTCATCCTTAAACTAAATAGAAGTATTCTTATCAAATAAAACAACAGAAGGTAAGCCATAAATGTCAAGCTACAATAAAGTCTATACAAATAAAGTGTCAGGATGTCATGCAGACCCCTTTTTTCAAGTAAGTGCATCTAGAAAAGTAAAAATAAAAAACAGAACACAGACCCCCGGGCTACATGTAAATTAATGAATTACTATATGTCCGAATATACGAGAAATGTATTCAGACACATAATAATAATTTGTTTGAGAATGTGCGGCGGCCATGTTGGCCACCAGCGTGTTCTGTGAATGCGTACCACCATCTTGGAGGCAGGGAGCATGATGTTACATGATGCCATGCATGCGTGGCATCAGGTGACCTCACACAGCCGATATTGGCCCCACCATCTTGGTGTATACCTAGATATACACCAAGATGGCGGCGCCCAACACGTGCGGTTTTATATGACGTCATGAGCGCTGCCTCCAGAACACGCCAATGGCTGAATACAAAATAGCATAACACGCTGCCCTTGTTGCCATGGCGCCCTGTGCGGCCGCCCACCCCTAAGGCCGGCCCTGACAGTGAGCAGTACAAGAACAGAACAGGAGGAGATTATATCCTGCTACATTTATTCTGCTGTCACTGTGCTTGCAGTGAACAGAACTTAGCTCACACAAAACAAAGATGTAGGAATAAGATCCTTGAATATAATCCCATAGGAATTAAACATGGCAGTCATAAAAAGGAAGAGCCTTGGAGAAAATTACATTAGGCACCTTAGCAGCCGAGTAGTATCATGCTGAAACAATGTTCATTTTTGACCCTTTCAAAAAAGCTATATTTATTTCTGTACTCACCACTTCTTCATCTGACAATTCCCGGCCCTGGATGCTGCTGTTCTCTCGTACTGCTAGCTGGTGTTTTTTTCCTTTAATATGGCTGAATAGGTAAACTTCAGAGGAAATCTGCCGCAAAAATGGATTCAACATTTTAGTTTTTAATTAACATATTTTCTATTAAAGATACATAATAACTTATTTTGTCACACAAAAAAAGGATATTTAAAGCTGGGAAAAATGCAACAGCATGAGTGTTAAAGATGTACAGTATGCCAGTATAAGTCAACCTAAATATAGTTTTAAACTGAGATATAAATACAAAACTGTTTTGTTTAGTTGGTCTTGGAGATGATTATAAACAAATTAGCATTTTTATAATTACCAATCATCAGAACATGGTACATTTATGGTCCCCTCAGGATTACTGACAGAACAGCATGAAGCACATTCACTTGAGCCGATTGTCAGCCTCATGATTTGAGTTCTCTGGAGATGTAATATGAAATACTGTGCCCCACTATTCCCAGGTCCAAACTCTGCTGATTCTTGTACAAAACAAACAGGGTGTTTTTTTTATGGGTTGGCTGAGGTCAGTCCCAGACAACACCCAGACAACTCTTTATTTGCTAACAATAACATACTAAACGATCAAAAAACAGGAAATAGATCTGGTTGTAGAATGTTTAGACACACAGGGGCTGATTTACAAATAGGCAAAGGCAAATAGACTGTTCACTTTACAGGGGAAGTTCCCCTTTAGTTTAGTGAATGAGGTGAAGCTCTGCTGACTTCTGACATCCAATCAAGTGTATGAAAAAAATATTTTTATTTTCCTGGAACATGACTTCCCCTACAATGTGCAAATTCCCTGGCCAAGTGAACAGCCTGCTTGACTTTTGTAAAGCAACCCCACGGCCTCTTAGCCCTCATTTACACGGGCCTCCTGTGTTTGTTTTATTTAAACACAGAAGAAATTGACCGGGGAAGTTTAAATAAACTTTAAATTTGTTATCTAATGTGCTGGATGCACAGATTTAATTTTGTTCTAAACACAGCTAAACTACAGTCGTGGCCAAAAGTTTTGAGGATGACACAAATATTATTTGTCTGCTGCTTCAGTTTGTATGATGGCAATTTGCATATACTCCAGAATGTTATGAAGAGTGATCAGATCAATTGCAATTAATTGCAACGTCCCTCTTTGCCATGAAAATGAATACCTAAAAAAACATTTCCGCTGCATTTCAGCCCTGCCACAAAAGGACCAGCTGACATCATGTCAGTGATTCTCTTGTTAACACAGGTGTCATTGTTGACGAGGACCGGGCTGGAGACCACTCTGTCATGCTGATTGTGTTAAGAGTGTAAAGTGTATGGAAGGCGTGCAACCGTTTCTACTGTACAGTCACACGTCTTCCGTCGAACAAGCAGGCTTGAAAAACCGCCGAGACTCGTACGATTCTCGGCGGGTTAGTGGCCTGCTTGTTCGACAACTGCCGAACAGGCCGGTGTGCGCACACTGCCCGTTTGCAGTGATCGGAAGCCCGCCCCTCACTGTGGTTATCGGAAGCCCGCCCCTCAGCGGGGCAGGCTTTTCGATGATCACAAGTATGATCTGCCTGTCCAAGATGGGCAGATCGTACAAGCTTTTAATAAGCTTACGACCATCGCAAGACAAAAGTCTTGCGATGGTCGTAAGGTGTATGGGCACCTTAAGAATAACAGACTGGAAGCTTTAAAAGGAGGATGGTGCATGAAATCATTGTTCTTCCTCTGTTAACCATGGTTACCTGCAAGGAAACACGTGCAGTCATCATTGCTTTGCACAAAAAGGGATACACAGGCAAGGATATTGCTGCTACTAAGATTGCACCTAAATCAACCATTTATCAGATCATCAAGAACTTCAAGGAGAGAGGTTCAATTGTTGTGAAGAAGGCTTCATGGCGCCCAAGAAAGTCCAGCAAGCGTCAGCACCGTATCCTAAAGTTGGTTCAACTGCGGGATCAGGGCACCACCAGTGCAGAGCTTGCTCAGGAATGGCAGCAGGCAAGTGTGAGTGCATCTGCATGCACAGTGAGGGGAAGACTTTTGGAGGATGGCCTGGTGTCAAGAAGGGCAGCAAAGAAACGACTTCTCTCCAGGAAAAACATCAAGGACAGACTGATATTCTGCAAAGGGTACAGGGGTTGGACTGCTGAGGACTGGGGTTTTCTCTGATGAATACCCATTCCAATTATTGGGGCATCCAGAAAATACCTTGTCCAGAGAAGAAAGGGTAAGCGCTACCATCAGTCCTGTGTCATGCCAACAGTAAAGCATCTTGAGACCATTCATGTGTGGGGTTGCTTCTCAGCCAAGGTAGTGGGCTCACTCACAATGTTGCCTATGAACACAACCATGAATAAAGAATGGTACAAAAACATCCTCCAAGAGCAACTTCTCCCAACCATTCAAGAACAGTTTGGTGACGCACAATGCCTTTTCCAGCATGATGGAGCACCTTGCCATAAGGCAAACGTGATAACTAAGTGGCTTGGGGAACAAAACATCAACATTTTGGGTCCATGGCCAGGAAACTCCCCAGACCATAATCCCATTGTGAACTTGTGGTCAATTCTCAATGGGTAAGTGAACAAAAACCCCCCACAAATCCTGACAAACTCCAAGCATTGATTATGTAAGAATGGGCTGCCATCAGTCAGGATGTGGCCCAGAAGTTGATTGACAGCATGCCAGGGCAAATTGCAGAGGTCTTGAATAAGAAGGGTCAACACTGCAAATATTGACTCTTTGCATAAACTTAATGTAAAGTAAGCGTAGTGATTTGTATCTTTCAAATCATTACAAGCATTATGAGTTTAGAAATGCTTTAAATGCATATAAATCGCATGCCCGTGTGCATGAGGCATTCATTTCCTCATACTATTTAGTAGGCAGGTTGTTAGACATCTTAAACACAGCTTTTATCACGGTCCTCTATCATAGTACAGCAAAACTACTTTAGTGGGCTTTTTTTTTTTAAGGAACCATTTGGGTAACAGGAAAAAGGTTCTATTCTGTGCTATAAATTTATTACATAAAGTCAGCGAGCAGAGAAGCTGGGAACTGGGATGAAAAACAAAATCATACTTTTTGGCTCCTTGCAGCAGTCTAAATTTTATTACTGCAGAAAGTAAACAATTTATATTTTCATGCAGCATTATGAATGCAGTAAACAAGATATAAAGCTGGAAGATGTGTATCTCATGCTCCAGGCAACAAAAGATTGTAAGCATGAGATACAAGGGAAGTGGAATTGGGAGCCCATGGTTTTAAGGGAGCAGAGCTGACATGTAAGCATGAGAAAATCTATATACAAGTTACTGTTATAATAAAGACAACAATTAGGATTTTTGTCACAGAAATGTTTGTAGTAGTTTTTTAAAGTTCTGCTTCAGCAAGAGATTTCCCCACCACAAACAATACCCCTCTCTAACTAATCATTGCAACCAAGAAAAAAATTACACTCTAAAAGTCCTAAATACTTACCCAAATTTGTGGTCATGTGATGCACTGAGTCTTGAGTCTTCTTCATTGTGGGGCGGAAGAGCCTTTTTCAGGTGCCTGAGGCTGGGTTGACATGGACACTTTCCATGCCCTTCCTTTCAGGCTCTAGGAAATTGCAGCAATTAAGGCACCAGTTGCCAAAGGGACAGACTGCAGTCAAGGGTATATTGTCCTCCAGAGCCCTTGCCAACTGTTCCTTTAAGAGGAGGTTGTGCTGGTAGCACACTATTGAGATACCTCAAGAGCATAAGTGGGCCAACACTGGAGCCATCACTTTAGTGAATACCCAAAGTGCAGAGGACAATCCGAATAGAAGGTAAATCAACTGGTAGTGCAGAGGCATCGCCACAAATCACAGAAAGTGCAGATGTAAAGATGGGTACATAAATATTTTAAGTTAACTTAAATAGTAAGTAGGAATCCTTAATGTCCACTGAGACCAGAAAGTCCCCTTTGATCCAATAACAATTCCTGTTGGTTTGATCCAAATTTGTGGCCACAGATGTAAGCATTTAAGTCCTTGAGGTAAAGAGTGTCCCTTTTGGGATTGGGAAAAGTGAATAGGTGGGAGTAAAACCCATGACAACATTCTGCAGCAGGGACTGGAGCTTTGTAACCCTGGGACACCACCTCTTGCATCCAAATATCAGGTATGCCAGACTTGCAAGAATCCGCAAAGGTCTATAAACATCACTCTACTTTGGAAAGTGGGGTGCACTTTCATGCCAAGGAGGGCTTGTCCGTAGATTTGGCAGCTTTGGAATACCAGGTCTTGGGTTGTGTGTTTGGAGAACCAAGATTGGTCTCATTGTGGAAGTCAGGGGTGCAGCAAAAAGTAACAGTGGAAGAAGACTTGTGAGTCTGTTTCTTAGGCTTTTTCCACTGAGAAAGGTGAGTACTTTTACACCCAGTAGTATGTTTAATGATAGTATCTAATACTGACCCAAAGAGATGCCCCTCAAAGGCCATGCAGAGTAAATGCTTCTTGCAAGCGGGTTCTGAAGTGCAGCACTTCAGCCTCAGAGCCCTGAACAAGTGCATGAACATTGAAACCAATGCGAAACAGCAAACGGGAGGCTTATAACATGCTTTGTCACAGCTAAAATTCAATGAAATGGTCAATTAAATCAATGATTGCATTGCGGGTCAATGTCAGCATCCGTCAGATAATGTTTAATAGAATTGACCTATTCAGCAATGAAGTACAGTCAGAACCAGGTGCATGGCAGAGCCTGCCATAGAGAATATGGCCCTAGAAAAGCTTCTGGTCTTTTGTCAGTGCAGTCCTTATAGGAAGGGAAAACCTCAATTGATAAAGTAAGAACATTAAGGCTGTAGATGGTCCGATCTAGAGCAGAGATTAACCACTTAGTAGCAAACTCCTCATTAAGAGAGAAGAGTGCTGACAAGAGTTTAGGAGGTGCAAAAACTTTGTTGTCACACAGCTCAAACAGAGGGTGTGAAGGGAAGGTTTTGGGGGTTTAAGGGGTCCTGTAGAACCCAAGGTAAGAATACAACAATGGTTGAAGTGACAGGCTGATCTTCTAGTTTACTGTGGTGCACCACATCAATAAGGGCCAAAACGGTCTCTTTTAACGTAGCAATAATAGCAGAAGACTGCAACTCCTCAGAGGAACGATTTGGTATCACACAGACTTTCCACAGCCAAAGTCTAAGGCCACAGGCAGATGAGGCATTAAATGTGCAGAGGAAGGTGTTGTAAAGATTAACTGAGTTATCTGTGTCATAAGGTCTTGCATGACTTCTGTATGACAGCAGGCACAGCAACATCCAACGGAGCGAGGAAGACTCAGAGGAGGGGATGACCTCTAACATCAACAGCAACATGACTCCCAGTTATGGGTGTCACCATTATCAGGGCATGCCTTGTACAGAAGAACATGACCCGTTAGTGGACAGTGTGCTAGGAAAATCCTGTAGAGTGGGTGTGTCTAAAATCAGATATGTTGCAGCCACAAATGTGGTAAGAAATGTACAGGCTGCAATTAGGAGGATAGGCCTCGAATACTCACACACCCTGGACAGCTGGGAGCTTGCAAACAACACTTAAGACTGATAGGTCATGTTGCTGGAGATGACCCAGCATTAATGCAGGCAGGCAGTAGATAAAGATCAGGAATCAACGTAACTCTTGTAGCAGGAGCAGTAGAAGGGAGATGCTTCCTTGATGCTATCTGGTGGTAAAGAGAGTGTGGCGTGCCAGATGTTCCATTCACATAAGTTTATCTCCAGAGACAGAGCAAGCTCAGAGGCAAATACTGATAGCTCTGGACCTGGAAAGTGCAGGCAGCTAACATAACCAAAACAAGTATAGAAAGCGCCCAGTGCCAGAGGGGCACTTCTAGACTCGCCTTGTAACATCTGATCCAGAGGGGACCAGTCGCAGTAAGATCAAAAGTGGAGACTGAGGACAACTGCTACAGGTAGCTACAATAAGACCTCCTACAGCTACAAGGAGATGAATTTCTAGTGCAGGGGAAAAAAAAATTGCTGGAAAAAAAATAGGTTAAGTCCTGAATCAGCGAAAGTAGGAAAAGATGTCCATCTTCCTAGGACACTAGCAAAAACTGAAGCATGCAGGTAGTAGGAGGGGTTAACCCAGGGCTGGCCTACAGTTTTTTGCCAGTGTCCACTCCTGTAGGCATCAATAAAACCCAGGTTTAAGGTTTAAGGTTTAAGACCTCCTGTGTCCCTCAAAGGACAACAAAGATAACATATTTTTGTACTTACCGTAAAATCCGTTTCATAAAGACCATTGAGGGACACAGGGTCCAATCAATATCATGGGATATAAACCACCGGCTAGAACCAGAATGGACACTAGGCACTAGACCGGCCCTAATGTACTTATAGCTCTCCCATGCCAGCTATGCCTCAGTTGTAGCAAGCAGTATGCAAAAGCAATTGCAAACAACACATGAAGGAAGAGACATGTGTCCCTAAAAGGGCTTAGAGAAAAGGATTTTATGAGAAGCACAAAAACCTGTTTTCACTATTATCCATTAAAAGACACAGGATCCAATGAGTACCATGGAATGTCCAAATGTAGTCCACACAAGAGGGGAAATAAACCCCAACAAAAGGAATAGCCACCCAGCCTGAGAAAAATAAAACTAAACAACACTTAATAAGCCACCTGCAACACTTTGCAACCAAAACTAGCATCAGCAGAGGCTGAAACGCCCACCTGGTAAAGCTTAGAAAAAAAGTGTGAATGGCAGACCAGGTCACAGCCTTACAGACTTAATAAAACTGAGAACTGATTTCGAAAAGCCCAGTAGGCGCCCCCTGCACTTATGGTGGAATGTTAGCACTGGGTGCTGCCTTAATGAGGTCATCAAAGAAACATCATCAATGAGACCTCAGGCTAGCAACCATACTAGCAGTAGCTGCTGGTGTACCCTCCAGCCTAGGGGTGTTGCCGACTGCCTTATCAAGCAAGCTGGCCACCTCCATCTGTTTGGAGATTGCCATGTCCTAAGGATAACCAGGAAGAGTCTCATCATCCAGGGATAGCAGAGTCTCTGGATTTGACAGCTCATCTATCTCTGGTTGCTGAACAGATGTCAAGTTAGCTGGTAAATCTATGGTAAATACCTCCAGGGAGGGAGAGGCAGGGTATTCTTAGGGTTTTCAACCATATGAGTGAACTGAGTGAGATACAACATAAACCTCTCCATTACCAAGGTAAAAACCTTCACTGTGAAAGTATTGGGGGAAGATGCACCAGATGGATGATACAGAAAAGGAGCAGTAAAGCACAATAATTGTGAAGCAATGCTGAATGAAAAGCTGAGCCTTAGTATATAACAAGCAAGTGTGGAATCCCCATGTACATAAATATTTACATATTATGCTTAGAAACATAAAAACATATTGAACACACTGATATCAATACTACCATCAAGGTAACACACTGTGAAGGGAATTTATTAAAACTGGAGCAGACAAAATCTGGAGCAGTTGCCCATGGCAACCAATCAGCTTCTCTCTTCAGTTTGTTCAGTTAAAGGATAATTAAAGCCTCAGGTGTTTTTGCATATATCTACTGCTAGCAAGCAGTAGATATATGCAAAAAGTGTATTAAAAAGGGTTAATACTTACCCCTGTCTTCACCGCGCGCTCCCGCCCGAAAATGTGAAATATCTCAGGCGGCCGCAAAGCATCTTGGTGGCGGGCGCATGCGCAGATCACATTTTCGGCCGGGAGACAAGGAGAAACACAAGGTAAGTCTATGGACGCGTGCACCCGCATGTAGACACCTTGGGACAGGAAGTGCCAGCAAGCTAAGAGGAGTCAGTGCTGGATCGGAGACCCGCCGCTGCGCTGGAGGGACAGATGAAAAGGACATGAAAGAAGAAGAAGATCGGATTAAGAAACATAATTTAAGGTAAGTGCTGACATTAACATTGGGGGGAGGGGAAATTTTTTTTGACTTTAATGTCACTTTTAGGTTTGAAAATTAAAGAGAGAAGCTGATTGGTTGCCATGCACAGCTGCTCCAGCTTTTGTCTGCTCCAGTTTTGATAAATTTCCCTCACTGTATCTAAAAAAATCTAACTGTATCTAAAAAAAATTGTAAAAATACATTAGTGGAAGCAGAAGTAGAAAAACAAACAGTTCTGCAAACAGATGCCAGAGTCCAGAATTAAAAAGAAAAGCATATAAAACAAAAACTGATGGTGAAGTTATCATTGCTGAGGGAACATGGGAAGTAACGATTTGGATACAAGAAAATCTATATGACACAAGATTTGTTATGGAGTCATTTGGTTATCACTCACCATTACGGTACAAAGCATGCACTGCTTTTTTCGCTCATATGGGGTGAGTTTAGGAGCATAGTCTGTGTTTGCATGTCTGCCACTGCTCAGCTCTGCTGCCTTCTCTTTCCGCTGTTCAATCTGTTCCAGGTGTCTTCGCACACTCTCATCATGCTGTACAAAACATGACAATACAAACGGTGACCCACAAAGCTTATTTTACATTACACTATAACAAATATATCTACAGCATAGGAAGCAGTATGAATACAACTCAAATGAATGCACACAAGTGGAAACAAAATACACACTTAATTGGTCTAGAGACCACAGAAACCCTAGTCACAGATACCGAAGACTATAGATGTCCTGTTACAAGCAATGTTGTTGTCAAAAAATTAAGAACTCAACAAAAGTGTGCATATAAAATGTTCACAGCACAGCTTCTTTTAAAGAGTGCTTTTACACGGTGCCCAGCCATTTGTACACTGGCAAGCTGCTAAGACATTCTGCAGATATTATGATCTGCTGAGTGGTTCTGTGTGTACACTGTGCCTATCTGCTAAACACTTTGCACACCAGATGATATGCTTGCCGTACACTGTGCATAGAATATCACTGCTCAGCCCTACCAGTAATCCCACTCTAATTTAAAGTGCAACAAAAGTCAAAACGTATACAAAAAAACGAGGGTTAACCCGTTAAAAGATAACGGGTTAGTAGCGGGCAACTTAAGGATCCGGGCACGTCAACCGATTGTAGAAAATATATAATTTTATTGAAAAAACCACACACTAATGCACATTAGATTCACCAACTACCATTAAAAACATTGTGAAACACATACAGTCATGATTGATATGTGGATCGATCCTCATTGGTTTTAACATTAACCTTGTATCCCCACCATGGGGGGAGGGGGAAAGGAAAGGGAATAACCGATATAGCTATTGCTTCGGTTCCCTTTCTTTTCCCTTTGCACACATATATTCACTTTTGTAAGTTATATTGATCAGGGGGAAGGAAACCCAAACTGGGCGATGTGAAATTTTTCCTGTATAGATGTCTTCTTTGTTCGTAGAGATATTATTCCTATTTTAACTCCCAGGTTATTTCATCTTTTGTTATCTTTTGTTTTTCCGTTTGTTGAAAATTCCACTTTCTCCATTATTTGGTAGTAGGTACCACTGATTTAAATTTAACCGTGTGTGCTATTAACTCCTTTCTCCTAGTCTGTACCGCATTACTCTAATTAGAGTGGTGGGGTGTATCAAGACTTTTATTTTGAGTGAAGGGACGCTTTTCTCACGGACAGACTATCACTGGGTCATCATTAGAAAACCAACCGCCTGACTCATTCCTCTTTCTTTCTTCTTTTATTAAATTTTGGGTGTAGGTGTTACAAGTATCTGTATCAGAGTGTTATATAACTGATGTCCTTAGCGGATACATGTAACATTTTTATCACTCACGATACTGTAGTCTCCTCAGAGTCCGGGCGGCTTGGGGATTTCCCAGTGCAGATCGAATATCCACTTCAATGTAGGTATGATTCGCCACTTCCTCCGTGCGGTGTCTGCTGTTACACACTCTCCGACGGTAGATCCGAGCGGTATTTCTACCTCGTGGGTTTCCTTTGAAGTCTCCTGGATGTTCGGGATACAGTCTGTCCGTTTGTGAGAGCCTCCAGCTCCAAATTGCAGGTTTTTACCAAGGTTGATAAATCTTTCAAATGAGGTTTTTTGGAATCATATGTCCACTTGTAATAAGTGACTGCAGGTTTGGTTGCTGTCTAGTTGTCGACGCGTTTCGCCCCTCCCATTGTACGGGGCTTCGTCATGTCCTGAGGCCAGTACAATGGCACAGTAACCAATTGGTATGATGTTGGGATCCCCTGATAGCCAGAAGCACTATTCATAGGAACAGAGCCTTGGCTACTGACAAATGAGGGACACTAAAGCATCACCCTCTCTAGCATCACTAGGGACCTCAATGCTGGGACAATGGCGCAGAGCAAGGCCATGTTTATTCCTGTGCCCACTAAGACCTGTATGTACTTATAATAGGATAAATATGGAGGTTGTCATTACAGACCTACTAAAAAAAAGTTGCCTAGTTGCAACTGGCTTCACTATGTCGATTCAATAACCCAAAAAGAAGCATGCAGCAAGTCAAATAAAAGGTAGGTTCCTGGGCTTATAGTAAGCATGCCTGCAACCCCCTGGACCATGGACCAGATTTTGAGCACCACTGTTGCATGAAAAGGCAAATTACCTGGAGTATGATACTGCAAAGTACATAATAAAGGCCCACCATGCCCATTTTTTGTGTAAAAGATGTTTAAACAGCAATTATGATATACATGATATACATAGCATAAAGGTAAAAAATGATATATGGAGTGTTATCTTCATTTTAGATGTCAAAAGGGTTTTGTGGCTCCCGGTGTTTTCTTTTCTGTGGGAAATGGGTCCAAATGGATCTTTGAGTGTTCAAGGTTGCTGACCCCTGTCCTAGGGGAAAACTACCAGCTGTCATTTGGTTGCCTCTTTTTGTCTCAAGTGGCAGCTTTCACGTAGCAAAAAGGCTGTATATCATAACTACCCGGTAGCTATCAAAGCTTGTGAAATAACTCAGTTTACAAGTATTTCTTTAGGGTACGGTAGTCTCAACAACCCTGGCAATATTACCCCAAATCCAAAACATTGCTAACTTTTAGTAGAAATATGTAAAAAATATGTCTGGAGTCAGGGGCATAACTAGAAATCACAGGGCCCCATAGCAAAATTTTGTATGGGGCCCCGTGATTTCTAGTTATACCCCTTGCAGAGCCCACTCGAGATCCCACCTGAGGGTGACCCTGCAGAGCCCACCATAGACTCTCTATGGTGGGCTCTGCAGGATCACCCTCAGGTGGGCTGGTCGCACTCCTTACCTCCTCCGTCGCCGGGCCCGCCTCCTTCTTCGTCACCGAGGCCGCCTCCTCCCCTGCTGCCGAGCACGGGCCCGCCTCCTCCTCCACTGCCGGTGACGTCAGAGGCTCGCGACGTTGATAGAACACCGGGTCCGGCCTGCTCCCCCGCTGCTGCTGGCTCTCATTGACTGTGTGGAGACGAACGCGCCGCTGCACAGATGATCTGAACAGCGGCGTGTTCGTCTTCCGACGCCAGTGAAAGCCAGGAGCAGAAGATCCCATAGCAACCCAGGCGGCCCGCACGGCATCTAGCCGGGCCCCACTGTGCCCCGGGCCCCATAGTGACCGCCTGGGTCGCTATGGTGATTGTTACGCCACTGCCTGGAGTAAAACTTAAATGATCATGTAACATCATAGTACAACTAAAGGAGTGACAGTCTAAACAAGTACCAAATACAGTTACCAGTTGATCCAGAAGCCTCATGCTCACAAGTGGGAGGAATTCAGCAGCAGAGTCAGTGCAGAAAGCAGTGGGCAGGACTAGGTATGGCCAGGTGCTGATTGAGAAGCTACAGGCTTGTGAGTCTGCAGTGACAATACTATTAGCGTGCCCCCTGCTACACCTCCAGGAATCCAGGAGCAGAGCAGTATCATTGCCACACCATCACAGGAAGCTGCATTAATTGGACTTCACTGACAGGTATTTGAGAGACTTTGCAGAGGGAATAAGTGCAGATACACTTTTAATTAAGTGTATGAAGATACAAAGTTACGATTTTCTAAAAAAAAAAAAAAAGAAGGGAAAATAGACTTAAATGTGCTCGGATAAATAAGACGGATGCTGGTAATGAAAAATGAAAATAGACTGGAATATGAACGTGACAGAATAATTATAGACTCCAGAAAAAAGCCTTATATACTATCTCATTCCTTTAGATATGACTAACCATGGGGACTGTACAAACTATGTACGCTAAAAGTGAAATGGTTTGAAGCAATAACAGCCAGTGCAAGGTGCTAGAAATAAATTTTCTTGTGTTCTGTACCAGCATTGTTATCACAACAGTTGTGTGTTCAAACTTCCTAACAGACAGGCTGCCTCTGCAGCACTCCACGGTACCCCAATCCCCCTAATCACAACCAGAAATCTCTTCTGATGGTATAAAAGGGGGCTTGTAGTTCTGAAAAGTGAGTAGTACTTGAGAGGTCATGTGGTAATCTGCAGTCTAACAATGCTAATTGATTCTAAAGCCAGGATGCGGTGAAGCAGTAACACAGGAGTCTGCTGGAGAGCGCTCTGTGCACAGACACACACAGATAACATCTAGAGAGGGAGAGACTGGCCTGAGGCATGGGGATCATTATGGGAGGGGCTCCAAATAAAAGCTTCAAGTCTCTGAGGTGGTTTACTTCAGTGTACTAAATGATATGCCCTGTCCTTCCTTCACAAACTAGGTGGGCTGGATGCAGCTTATCTGTTCCCAATATCTTGCTTTCTACGCTATGAAATTAGGTAAGGCAATGTTTTCAAAGGTTCCTCCCATATAATAAATACAAAAAAGTCCTCGGGCCTTAATTTCTGACTAAATAGAAAACATAGGTAGCTTAATTTAACTCCAACAAGGCCAGATCATAATTTTGGCTTGCTGTAGCAGACAACATGTCTGCCCATGGTGCTTGTAGTTCCTGACATTCTTATACAAACCTTTAGCTGGATTTTCTTTTGCAGCTCCTCCACTGCCTCTTGCTGTGCTGCAGTCAAGGCTGCCAACCTTTCTTCTCTGTCCCTTTAATTAAGAAGTGACACTGATCAGCAATTAATTTTACATTTTTAGAAGTACTTAGAACAATATTGTATTCTTTATAATTGCTAGCATTCTGCAAGCTGAAAGGCACTTAGAAATATATTTATATTCACTTTTAATTCAGAAACCATTAAGATAGTTTTCAAGTGAAAGTCTACTTAAAGGGAACCTGTTGTCTCTGAAAGAACTAAAAGCCAAGGCACCCTGTGAAAGAAAGGGCTTTAGGCTTACCACTCCAGTGGAGATTGTGTTGAAACTTCACTGTCCCATACTGGGCATTGTGGTTCCTCCCACGACACCTACGTCACTACAGGGCACAACAGTGACATAGGAGTCAGCGAGATGAACTCAACACCCATTGATGGATATGCTAGGACACAGCAGTGGTGTAGGAGTCAGTGAAAGCAACCCAGAACTCAGCAGGGGACATGCTACAGGGCATGGCAATGGTTTAGGAGTCACAGGAAGGACCCAGCAGGAGACATGTTACATGGGTTGGTGGGAGCAACCCAGTGCCCAGCAGGGGACATGTTACAGGACACAGAAGTGACAAAGGCGTTGGCAGGAGCAACCCAGCGCTCAGTGGGGAACATGCTACAGGACACCGCAATGGCATAGGGGTCAGCGGGAGAAATCCTGCACCCAGAGGGGGACATGCTATCCCACACACCCAGAAGTGTCAGATAGCAACAGCGCCTACAGCTCTTGAAAGCAAAGTGTTAAAAGGAGAACTATGAGGTGAGTGCTTTTCACTCACCTCATAGTTCTAGCCGACCTGTGACAATGAGACTGTCACAGGTCGGCTCAGTAGATCGGGAGGTGAGCAAACACATGTCGGTGTTCGCTCACTTCTCGATCCCGTCACGGCTCTCTGCCATGACAGGGGATGGATTCCTCCCTCCCCGCTCCGATCCGACAGCGCTGACTGGCGGAACGGACGGGGGAGGGGGCGGGTACAGCTGGCTCTGCCTCTAGATAGGCAGAGCCAGCTGTCACTCACGCAGCTGAGCGGATCTCGACATCGATGTCGGGATCCGCTCCGGCTGCGGCGTCTCAGTATACCGCGAGCTGTAGCTCGCGGTTCTCCTTAGGGTAACGGGAGGACACAAACTAGCGTCCTCCCGTTACCCTAAGGAGAACTATGGGGAAAACCCCTGACCCCATAGTTCTCCTTTAACACAGCACCCACAGGAGAGGTAAGGCAGAAGCTTCTTTCACATGGGTACTTTGGCTTTCAGTTATTTTCGGAGGTGACAGGGCCGCTTTAAAGCTGGTATGGGATTGTGGAATGGTCATTTTTTTTTTATGCGGTCTGTTTCCACACTAGGGAGGTGACTAGTGTTACCTGGGACAGGAAGTGGAGGAAAATGAACTTTATTTAAAACAAAAATAAGTTTGGGGTAAATACATAAACACAAACATGTCTGGGTAATTATGAACAAACTTGTGTAAAGAGGTGCCATATGCAGTATGTTAGCTTTTGGCTTCTGAAAAGGGGCTTGTTATATTTGCTGCAGAAGCCGCAGCAGCAAAAATGTATACAAACTCATACAAATATACTGTATATAGGTATATATCAAAATAGTAAAAATGTGTCACCCAATCCGTTATTAAACACTTTCCATTTTAATCTCAAGCAAACCTAAACGTAGGTAATCAAACACTGGTGCCACAACAGAAACAGATAAACAATTTCTCCAACTTATAAATTATTTACACTCTGGGAAAAGATTTATGGATTTGCAAAACAATGTTCTCATTTATATTAATGGTTATAAGACATCACATTTTCCATAGAAAGAAAGATCTGGGGTTTGTGTTTTTTAACGGTTACTTAAATCCAGATATGAATCCACATGACCCAAGTGCTTACCAACTTCAGTCGACCTTTCCCGACAATGTCTCTTTCACAGGTCAAACAGTCGCCAGATGAAACTTTAAGAAATATACACCACTAATCATTTTTCTCATTGCTTATTTCTAGAGAAGAGTGGCAGGAATACAAAAAAATGCCTATGTTATGTACATCAGAGAGGGGTGCACGCAACAAGACCTTTACTTTACATATTCACAAGAGAGGTGCACTCCAGTGCTTATGTGATGTAGAACTTACCTGGCTCTCTCCCTAGCTGCGCCTTCCCTTGCACGTTCCTTTTCTTGTCTCTGCATTTCTATACGAGCTTCCTGTTCCTTTCTCTTCATCAGCAGCTCCTCAACCCGGGCCTGACGTTCTGCTTCCAGCACTCTCTTACGTTCCTACACATAGCACAGATGTAACACACCTGTAATTATTACCTGAACACTTTCTTTGGTATATTGCCATTACATTCTCAAGGCATTTATAAAAGTGTATCTAAATCCAAACAATTAACTTTCCCTATGTGGGCCCTTTTGGTCATTTAAATATAAAATTAAAAGCATTTTGTTATATCGCTTCATTAAGTTCATGAAAATACCTGTTGGTCTTGCCAGATATATTTTGAGCTGATAACTTTCTGTGCTCTCTGCCTGTGCTGACTTTTATCAATTACATTTTTCACAGCTAACTCTAGGGACTAAAAAACAATGTCCCTCTATCTTATGGACAATAGGAGAGGGGTGGGGGTTCCATAGTCCTATCTTTTTTCTGTTTTCCTGATATAGGAGGATGAATGAGCGATATCATCCTAGGACAGGAAGTGTGTTACTAGCAGAATCACTAGGTGAAAAGAAAGGGAAAAAAAGCTTGAAAAAAATAAAACTAATGCAGTCATGAAATTTAAGGACTGGTAAGCTGCATCATATAAAATATATGTATGGTTTAAGGCCGATCTGGTACATGTAAAACAACATCACAGTGCCAAAGCAAACAAAGCAAGAATTGCTTCTATGTAATTTTGTGCTGTCATTACTGAGTAATAAGCAGTGTAAAATCATTGTTGTGTCACCTGTCATTTAAACATAGCCTAACACATAGGACTTAGCATTGCTCTGTCCCTGGAAACCACAGGTAATTAATTACTCAATAAAACCATTTAATTTAGTACTATACAGTTGTGCTTAAAGGTTTGCATACCCTTGGAGAATTGGTAATATATGCACCATTTGTAAAGAAAACATGAGTGAGCAGGCAAAACACATTTCTTTGATTTCTTTTGAGATTCATATTTAACTGTAGGTCATAACAGGTCGGCACAATCATAAAACAAAACATAAAAACATTAAAGTCTTAAAGTTCCAAAGTCTGCATACCCTTAGTTCTTAATACTGTGCATTGCCCCTTTAGCATCAATGACAGCGTGCAGTCTTTTGTAATAGTTGTCTATGAGGCCCTGAATTCTTGCAGGTGGTATAGCTACCCATTTGTCTTGGCAAAATGCCCCTAGGTCATGGAAAGTCTGGTCGTCTTGTATGAACCGCAGGTTTGAGATCTCCCCAGAGTGGCTCGATGATATTAAGGTCAGGAGACTTTGATGGCCACTCCAGAACCTTCACCTTTTTCTGCTGTAACTCCTGGAGGGGCAATTGGCCCTGTGCTTAGGGTCATTGGTGTGCTGGAAAGTCCAAGAGCGTCCCATGCACAGCTTTTGGTGCAGAAGAATGCAAATAGTCTGCCAGTATTTTCTGATAACATGCTGCATTCATCTTGCCATCAATTTTCACAAGTGCCTTTAGAACGCACACAACCCAAAAACATCAGTGAGCCACCATGCTTCACAGTGGGGATGGGGTATTCTTGCCGCTATAGGCCTAGTTGACCCATCTCCAAACATAGCACTCATGGTTGTGACCGTAAAGCTCTATTTTGGTCTCGTCTCTGCAAATTACAGTGTGCCAGAAGCTGTGAGGTGTGTCAAGGTGTTGTCGGGCATATTGTAAACTGACTTTTTTTGTGGCATTGGCTCAGTAAGGTCTTCTTTCTGGCAACTCGACTGTGCAGCTCATTTTTGTTCAAGTATCGTTGTATTGTGCTCCTTGAAACAACCACACCGTCTTTTTCCAGAGCAACCTATATTTCTCCTGAGGTTACCTGTGAGTTTTTCTTTGTATCCTGAACAATTCTTCTGGCAGTTGTGGCTGCAATCTTTCTTGGTCTACCTGACCTTGGCTTGGTATCAAGAGATCCCCAAATTTTCCACTTCTTATTAAGTCATTGAACAGTACTGACTGGCATTTTCAAGGCTTTGGATCTCTTTTTAAATCCTTTTCCAGCTTTATAAAGTTCCATGACCTTGTTACGCAGGTCTTTTGACAGTTCTTTTCTGCTCCCCATGGCTCAGTATATAGCCTGCTCAGTGCATCCATGTGAGAGCTAACAAACTCATTGACTATTTATACATATAAATACATGTATATATATTGCCATTTTAACCTGTGTGTGTGTCACCTTGTGTGTCTGTAACAAGGCCAAACATGCCAGGGTATGCAAACTTTTGATCAGGGCCATTTGGGTGATTTTTGTTATCATTATGATTTATAAAGGAGCCAAACAACTATGTGATAATAAATGGCTTCGTATGATCGCTATCCTTAAATAAAAGACAGTTTTTTGGCATGATCAGTCATATTTTCAATATCAATGCCAAAAATTCATGATTTCTGCCAAGGTATGCAAAGTTTTGCGCACAATTGTATATTAAATAGGAATTTTACCTATCAATTTAATGTCTCCCAAAACATGTTTTTATAGGGCATGCCAACTTTCAAGTTTGCCAGTGTGCTTATTTCAGCTCTCAACCAAACTTTGAAGCCTTCAAATGGCTGGTGTCATAGCTGATCACATGTGCAGCACCATAGCAACTGTAATCCAAACAGAGGCTAAGATAGCACCTTCCTTGGCTGTAAAGGATAGGAGGTTTTAGTTCCTAGGTAACTTCTAAAAGAAGTGAACTGCAGTGTATCCAAAAGCTCTGGGGAGAGATTCCCGCAAAGTAATTGTAAAGTAAATGTTAAAAAAGAAGAGTTTTATTCCATCAATTCAGAGTTAATACCTGTACAGCTTCATCTCGGGCTTGTTTCTCCTCCTGTCGTCGCTGTCTGTCCTCCTGCAGCTCATTGAGCCTTTGCTCATACTCCTTCAACTTAGCCAACACATCATGGCGCTTGTTTTGAGCTTCTAAGGTGTTAATGAATGCAATCTCATTTACCTGTAACGCAAGAAAAACTCAGTCCAATGTTTGAAAGCTACATTTAACACACTTTTATACTTTTACATATCGTTTATATATAGGTTACATGAACCGCTTATTTATATAAAAGCTGGAGAACTGTGTCTATGTTGCCCAAAGTCATCTGCACTGGAAACATTAGACTTTGCATGTAGAATCACAGGAACCTTTCTCTATATATATTACTTCTACTTATTCATCCTGCAAGAAGAAATCACGTTTCTGGAAAAGTTAAAAAAATTAGGCGAGCCACATCGCAAATCTCAGACTTTGACAGAACCGCATACTTTAGCACTGACCCCCTCCCCGCTGACAGTGTATTGTGTGTAAAGGCAGAGCTGTTGTCTACTGATCATGTTACAATGCATAACAGGGAGTGGGAGAGCTGTTTAAGGCCTATTTACCATTTGACCCTTACTGACTGATTTTCCTGTGGCGAAAATTTAGTCTGAAGACCTAATAAAAGGTTCATTAAAAAAAACGTGGAAAACCAAAAATGTGAGTAATGAAAATGTGCACATGTATACATCATCATTGCACCTCTTCATTACCACAATAACTGCAAATCACTTACAAAGGCGGAAATGGACTTTAAATACATGTACAAATATGTGTATTTTCTGTTCCTGTGTGCATACAAACCTTAGCTTCCTCTTCTTGCGCCTTTTTCACAATGGCTTGTAACTGAACCTCCCTTTTAAATTCTGCATGGAGCAGCTTCTCGTCCATCATTTTGCGCCTCTGTTCCAGTAATTCCTCTTTCCACTTTCTCACCTCCTTTTCCTGTAACATAAAGCCATCTATGAAGATACCAAGGCACTTCCTTTGCAAAGCAAAGTTCATACCAAGGACAACAACCTATACAAATGAATACGGTGTCATAAATCTGAAATAATCACCCAGATTTTTCTGCATGCCACAAATTGTTAAACCACCTTTATTAGACATATTTTAATCAGTAGGACAATTATATGGAAACTATATGGAAAAAGTCTTAGAAGAACATCATAATCTATATATTGTTCTGTAAACTGGGTTATAGACTGATAAAAGTGTAAAACTTGGTAACTTTTTACATATACAACTGGCTGGTGTACAACTGGCTTTCCAGTTCTCTGGGAGAGAGAAGAACAGTGAGAAATCATTCCTTATCATACTCAAACTCTTTGTGTGTAATAAAGTTCCAAAAGTTATGCCACCTTTGAACCCTGAGACCCTATAATAACTGAACTGTGACAAGTGAAGCCTAGGCTTGTTACATCACAAGACATTAACAGGCTGTGTAATGGCACCCTTACTGGCAGATTTGTGGCAATGTCAGGAGTTTTTCTTCAGCTTTTTACTGAAATAACTATTGCATAGAACTGAACAGTTAACAGCAACATCCGAATACAGCAGTTCAGGTAGTATGGCTAGAGCTGATGGTCCTTTACAGATCAAAGCAATATATTTTCTATGCAATGTTATGTAGTATTTCTGACTCCAAAATGATAACTCACCCTTTCCAGTAATTTCTGAAGCTTTAGAGTTTTCTCTTCCCTTAGCTTCTCTCTCAGCTGTTGTGCTTTTAGCTGCTTCTCTTCGTGCTTCTTTTTGGACTCGGCGATTGTTCTGGGAAAAGTAAATAAATATAATCATCATGTGCATGCAAATGTGGATTTCACACAATAATCATTTTCCCCTATTGATTAAGAGAATTTTACAGTTCTAATTAAAAAGAAAAGAAAAATTAAAGTAAGAACATTGTATGGTACAGCATATAAAATGCACTGAGCTGTATGAAGTTATGTAAAGGTTCTGCGTCTGTTCGGGGATCCATCAAATATTTGATCTTTTCTTTCACTGACAAGATCAAGCCCTGAATGACCAGGACAAAGTAACGAAGATTTTGTGTGACCGTCATCTCACATCAATTAAATTAGACAACAACATTAGCTGACATCCTCAACATACCTCCTTTAGCCACAATGGAATTTGGGGATCCACTGCCTTTTTATATTCATGATTAGAAAATTGGGGTAATAATGTGCTGTGCACAATTTAATTTCCCTTTTTTCAATATGTAGCTGAATGGTTTCCCAATGCCTTTCAATTGTTTATCTACTGTTCATGTCCAGCTTCAGCCCCTGCTACCGATTTTGTCTTATAGTAAAATATAATGCTTCCTAATAATATCTGTATCATCAAGATGCTTTACTCCATTCATGACACTCTAAGCCAGACAACCTGACTTCAATGAAACACCCAACGTGTAATCAAAGTAAAAGTTTAGGGTGCCTGGGACTATCTGAAGACATGACTGAAAGACAACTTTGGTATAAGCAACCTGTCAACAATCTCCACTATAGAGAATGCCAACAGAGCAAAGGAAGCTTCCACCAAGACCACTGCTAGCAAGGTTGTTAATCTTCTGTGGCAGGGACAAATTCCTGCAAATAGACCAAAAAAGGAGAATCTACAGATAGCAGAAATTCTATTTTTAGCTCGTGGTTTTCCAGTGCAACAAAAGACATTTCCCTATGGTCACCTAATGGTGACAGCACAAGGGGCACACTCAAACTGCAGAAAGCTTAACAGCACTGAAGTGGGCACAGCCTAGTTAGTTTAAATGGTTCTAATATTCATATGTCTTTCTTCATGTCATCAACACACAGAAAAAAGATAGTGGTTTTGAGGCATAAAGTGGCAAACAGCTATATATGTAAAGGGTATTTCCTTTCTCTTACAGTTAAAGATACACTTGGCAGTTGTGTTAAGAAAATGTTCAGCTCTTTAGAACATAACCTTAGATAAATCATAAAAAAATAATATCAAAAGAAATTAAACATTAGAAGAAAGCCTGACCTTTTTCTGGAAGGTGAAGACAGCTTTTCATGCATGTGGATTCCATGCCCCGGTGGTCTTGATGGTTCCTCTTCCACCATATCTCCCCAGGATGTGTTCTGTCTCCATGACTCACGAGCTACAAGATCAAGCATGCACCAGGTAAACAGACAGAAAAGTTAGGCTTTTATTCTGTCTAGGGTAAGGCTTTCCCTCAGCTAAATAAGACACAATCATTTTATTCCACACCATTATATTGAGTTAGGGATTGCTGTCACTGTCACAAAAAAAAAGTCTAGATAATTATAAGACTATATTTGCAGACAAGTTAGCAATATCGGTCTTATTAAATGTAAACAACATGGATTCTCTAAACATAAAATCATTAAACAGAGGTTACTTGTTTTCACATGATAGCTTTATAACTTCTTTCCTCCTTCTTCTTTTACCTTCATAATCTGCTAAAACTTCGTTCCAGTCCATAGACGTCCCGTTTAATGACATACCGCTACCCACACTGGCCTGCAATTACAAACAGAATTATTAATAACTTCAAATAGTTATAGGCAACCTGCAGAATACTGCTGAAAAAAAGCAGATGAAACTTCTATAGCTAACAGACATCTAGGATTTAGAGAAGAAAGTATACATTATACATACATTATATATATATATATATATATATATACATATACATATATATATAAAAATATATATAAAATCTAATATATAATATCTAAAATTCATTTATATATCTGGTCCAAAAAGATAGCCTCTCTCTTTTATTTTTAAATCTTAACTGAATAAACTGAAGAGAGAAGCTGATTGGTTTCCATGCACAACTGTTCCAGATTTTGTCTGCTCCAGTTTCGATAAATTCCCCCCCACAGAGTTGCTCAGCTGATTACAGCAGCCATTCAGAGGACGCCTAGTATATTTCTCAATGAATACTAGGCGTTCTCTAATTGGACGAGGGGCAGTGACATCACGGCACAGCCCCTAATCCAATCAGAGAACGTCTAGTATTGAATGAGAAAAATACTGCTCAACCTCTGAATAGCCTATATAATCAGCTGGCGGATCAATCTTGCCCAACTAACATTAATATAATAACACTGGGATCCGCCAATATACAAAAACACACAGCAGACTTACAGAGAAATCACTTTCATTGTCTATTTCAATGTCATTTTCCTCTGCCTCAATTTCTCTGGTTAATTGCTCTTCCTCTGCTATAGCACTTGCTATGGCCTCTTCATTAGCTTTCTCCAGGCGGTCTGCAAGCTCTTCCTTTTTGGCAAGCACCTCTGCCATGGACTGTAGGAAAGCAAGAAGCAGGGTGATAGAAATAAGGTACATGATAAATGCTACAGACAGTAAACCCAAATCTAACTGAAAACAATTATATATGCTCCGTTAATATAACAGAAATGACAAATTACAAGAAAATCGAATCCGTGTTTAATGATTCCCAGTTGACAGAGCTGTCTCTACGAAGTTGTCCTTTATTTTAAACATTCTTTTCTCAATCAGTAGAATTGTGGCAGGACTGAAGTGTAATAGAGATAGGGTTAGGCTCCTCCAGTTTAAATGGATTTCTAATGTAAGTGATCCTTGAAAATCAGAGGACTAGCGTACTAAAGGAGATGTGTTGCCCAAACCTACAGTCTTCCATGCTGTGCTTTATGTACATGGTCAAGTTCTCCTATGAAAAGCAGATCAAATGCAAAGCTTCCACAAAATACACAATGTTACAAAGAATGTTTTATGCAAACAATATACAGCTTAAAGTCAACCTGTGAATAGGCATTAGACATTATTAACAAGCAGTAAATACATTTTTAAAACAAGCAGTAACCTGTTCTGTAGCTGTAGGCACTGTGGAGTAATTCATCCTCAAAGATCACAGAAGAGACTCTGAAGTCTTGTTGCAGTCACATTCTGAACAGCTTAATGCATTGGTGGTCAAATTATAAGGGGGGCCTTAGCATGTAAGCAACATTTTCACAAGTTTGCGATCGTTGGAATTCTGAATGATATTGTGCCAGCATATGCAGTAAAATCAAATATCATCTCGAACATCAAATATCCAAAGTATCTGATGTGACTTTGGGATCAGTGGGGGGAGATCTTTTTATTTATTTTAAAAATATTTATTTTTTTCTTTTTAACCATTTCTTTTTCCTTATAGGGTATCTGGATCTGGTTAATGGATACCTGAGACAGCCGTAATCCCTACCCTTCCCATGCAACTCTGCAGCATCAGATAACTTCTACTAGTAATCAACTGCTGGATTAAATTACTATAGCAGTGATCAGGAAGATGCTGCATAGTGCCGCAACACCATTTATCAGTACGGAAACATCGTATTTACAGTTCCTACAAGCACTAAATAGCAGCAGCAAAAGACGATGAAGTAATTGATTCAGCCCCTGGGCATGGGATAGACTATGGATGTTACTGACAACCAGTGTTTCAAGAACTACAGAGGGCCGGAGCCGCTGTTACTAAGCATGCAATCTGATTAGAGCACAGCGGGCCACTTGTTAAGCACCATGGGCTTACAGCATCTCCTTTTTGTTTCCATTAGAAGGCTGGCACACTGACAAATCCCTACTGCAAGAGTAATTTCCATTCTTCTGCAGTACACTTTGACGATGAATTGCTCCATGGTGTTTGTTCTATCAGATCTTGTTTTAAAGCTCATTTACTGCTTGGTAAAAATATGTAAGTTTAGCCTAACTAAAGTTCACTTTAATTGCATTTGTAACACATGTTTATATGACCTGCATGCACAATTCTACAACACATGCAGAGGTATAATATATTTAATGCCATTCATGCTGGGTGAAAATCATGCATCACTTTATAGTACAAAAACTGAATTCTAATAAGTCTCTTATAAGTATAGAAGTACTGTACGAATACTATTATAAAATTCAGAAATGTCCAGTTTGGTCAACCTGCAATTACAAATGTAGTAAACAAAACAGTGGAGAAAATGACACATTAGCAGGGAATAGAATAAGACTTAAAGTGTATATTAAGCCTGAAACTTTTTTCTAGATTTGTATAGAGTAGTTTCGGATATGAACTCCTGACAGCTCATTAATGCTATCTGGGTCTCTGTTTGAGAAATTTACCCTCTCTTTCCGCCTACCTCAACACGGGCTATGCCCCCTTCAGTCTATCATGAATGCTGCTGCCGGACTTATCCACCTTACCAACCGCTTAGTGTCTGCAACCCCCCTCTGCCAATCCCTCCACTGGCTTCCAATTGCTCAAAGAATAAAATTCTAAATATTAACAACGACTTAAAAGCCATCCACAACTCTGCCCAGGCTACAGCTCCAACCTTGTCTCAAAGTATCACCCTAACCGTCCCCTCTGCTCTTCCAAAGACCTCTGGCAACCTAGCTCCCTCATCAGCTCCTCCCATGCCCACTTCCAGGACTTCTCCAGAGCCTCTCCCATCCTCTGGATCTACCTACCCCAACCTGTCCAACTGTCTCCTACTGTCTGCCTTTAGGCAATGCCTGAATTCTCAACTTTTTAGCAAAACCTATCCCAACCTCTACCTAAAAACCTTATTGACAGGGGCACAAACCCTTCCCAACTCTGTCCAAACTAAGAAAAAGGTATGGCAGGACATGTAATTTTAAGGCAAAACAGCAGATAACCTGTTTGCGTCCACGGACGTACATAGTGCATCATTGCTAGTACGGCCCTGTAAACAGAATCCCGGCGACTAAAGCTCTGTTTACCTTTGTAAAGCCGGCTGCCGGCCGTGTTTCATGTTGAATGCCGGCGTGAGGCTGGGGAGAGCAGTGAACTGACGTTCACCGCTCTTCTCCCTGCTCCAATGTGCACTTCAATAGCTTATTTAAAGTGTAAAGGTAGTACTAGGGGTCTTTTGGACCCCCAGTATCACCCTAAAGAGGACCTGTCGACACCAATATGCTATCACATGTGATAGCAATTAAAGTAAAGTAAACAAAAAAACAAAACAAAAGTTTTAAAAAATAATTTAGAATAAAATAAATGGAAAAATGGAAAAAAATGTAAAGCTCCCCACCCCCCGCGAGTGTGGCGCATTAACAAAGCGCGCATCGGGTGCGGCTACGTACGAAAACGTTGATGGCACTACACATGTTGGGTAACGCCTCGCACACAGAGTGAGAGCAATAATTATAGGGACAATATTTACGTGTGCCTAAACTGATAACCTGTAGGGGCTTTTAAAGCATCATCTGTGGAGTTTTTGGGGTACTGAATCTTGTCGCCATTTCAAGGATGCAGGCAATTTTGAACCTAGGCATGTTAGGTATCTATTTACTCATCGTAACCTCACCTACCTTTACAAAAAAATTGGTATTTTGTTGTGTTTTGGGGCACTAAAATTAACTTAAGTGCATTTTTCATTATATATATTTGGGTTTGATAAAGAGTTTTGCCAATATCATGCAACATAAAAAATGGCAACTGCCTCCATTTTATTCTACAGGGTGTTTGCTTTCAGAAAATATATAATGTTTTGGGGGTTTGAAGTAATTTCCAGGTCTAAAATGTGAAATATTTCAGGGTCCTTATGGGGTTAAATTAGTGGCTGGGTTGAATGGGGGAGTGTTTAATTCCCCACTATCTCTTAGCATAGCACTTTTATTGATACGTCACATGCGTCAAGAAGCCAACATTTAGGGGCCGCGGAGGGTCGCTTCATCAGGGCGTCATAGTCACGATGTCACCCTGATGAAGGGACCCTGGGCGGCCCCGAAACGTTGGCTTCTTGATGCATGTGACATATCAATAAAAGTGCTCTCCTTTTTGCACATTACAAGGGAGTGCTGGTGACCACTATCTTTACTTGGATTGTTACACGGCGCCATCCATGTCGTCATTTCGAGCACCAACGGATATTTAGATTGGTTCAAGCGCTGTATGGTGTGCAGGTCATTCTCTAACGTTATATCTATAAAGGTGCCCATACACCTTACAATTATCTGGAGATTTTTGTCTGACATTGCATTTTCATCATATTTTTGTCTTTCAAGCAGGCTAGAAAACTTTGTCTAATTGGATGAATATTGACAGGTTAGTGACGTGGTTGTACAACAAAAATCTCAAGATGCAAACTGCACATGCTCAGATGAAAATCTGTCCTTTCAGTCGATGAAAATCAGGTTGGTGGTGGTGCTGATGAGCATTAATTGCGGACTACATTGGTCTGTGCATGATGGGCTAGTTGTAAAGCTGCCCACACACCTTACAATTTATCTGCAGATTTTCTGTGGTCAGATGGAAAAGGTGCAGCAGATTTCTCCATCTACACTTAACTGTGTGGATGGAGTAATCTCCACCTGGGCCAATCTGTTGCACTTTTTCCATCTGACCAGAGAAAATCTGCAGATAATTGTAAGGTGTATGGCCAGCTTAAGAAAATTGAATGAGGGTGAGATGTCTGGACAACAAAAGTTGTACAATGGTTGTAAGGTGTATGGCCTCCTTTAGGGACACTGCCAGCAACATGCATATATCCCAGCAACATCCCAGGTGGTAATCTGATGCTGACACTAGAAGGAGGTCTTCAGTTGGGTATACTTTCATAGGAAAAATATTATCAGAACATTTGATAATTACATCAGAGACATGTAGAATGTTGTTTGAAATTTTATTTGGTTTTAATAATAAAAATGAATAATAAAAAATTTAAATAATGTTCCAGAAACATTTTTTTTCTAACAAAATTCTACTGGTGTATAGCCAGCTTTAATCTAGTGGTTAGCCCATTGAACGGCCACTACTCCTTACTCTTGCTATTAAAACTTTTTTGCTGCTTTTGGCACTGTTGACCACCTGCTCCTCCTCAAAAAACTCCACTCACTTGGCCTACAAGACTCTGCTCTCTCATGGTTCTCCTCCTACCTAGCTATGCGCTCCTTTAGTGTCACCTACAATTCTAACTCCTCCCCTTCTCTTCCTCTTTCTGTAGGGGTCCCCCAAGGCTCTGTCCTTGGAACACTTCTCTTCTCTATCTACACCTCCTCCCTTGGTCAACTAATAACCTCACATGGCTTCCAATACCATCTCTATGCAGATGACACTTAAATGTATCTTTCTACTCCACAAATCACCCCATCAGTGTCCTTGCGTGTCACTAATCTACTAACTGACATGAGTCTGGATGTCACAACACTTCTTAAAACTCAACCTTTCAAAAACTGAGTAACCTCTCCAAAATACGCCCCTTCCTAACCAATAAAACCGCTAAATTACTCATCCACTCGCTTGTTATATCTCGACTATTGCAACTGTCTCC